CCCCCCCTTCACCTCCCCCCCCCACACCCCCTCTCCACACCCCCCACACCTCCCCATGCAGATGTCTGTTTAAAACAAGCCTGTGTCTATACAGGCACTTTGCTGAAATGGGAACTTCACCCAAACTCTTCTCCATGGTAACTCAGGGGTCTACTTGCTGAGCCCCAGTATCGCATCAGAACCCCACCATGAATGGTCTACCCCCATCATTGGCTGCTACAGGAAAGCTTTCCTTTGATACTAATGCAGGTCCTGAAACCCAACCCTAAAACAGATCTCTTTCCCAGCTGCCTGAATCAGCCTGATTCTGCTTTACCTTTTTCCTTTCTAACAGTTCCAACATCTCGTTTGTGAGATGGTTTTGGTTTTGTATACCTGCTGGTCTGGGGGCACACACTGTCCAGTGGAATATTTGTTCCCTATGAGTTCATTGCTTAACTCTTTTATATGGGAGTGGAATGAACAACCTCAGGTAGTTCAGGCTCTTCCCAGCCTGGATTTTCAAGTGTAAACACTTTTTGGAAAAAGAACAAAGAGCCAGTTTGGGGGGAGGAGGGGCAGGCAGTTCATTTAATAATCCTCAGTGCCAGTGATTTGAGGTTGGAGCTTCATTGTTCTGCCTAATCCCCTGTCACTTGTCCACACAGGTTCCTACTACCTGGGCAATGGAGCTGCGTGTGGGTTATTGGCCAGTGCAGCCGCTTGCTGCCACAACAACACTGGCCTGGGGAAGCAGACTGTTTTCTTGGGGACCCACCAATCTCTAGGCATATATAAATTTTTGTTCCTACATCTCTCTCCCCAGCCTAGGGAAGTTCTCTCACCCGTGGGAAGGCTGAGTTTGACGGGAGTGGGGAGAAATCAGAGAACAAGTTCTTACTCCAAAATCAGTTGACCTTAACGTGTTTTATCCTGGGGTTGGGGAGGGCTTTTGAACGCAAAAGACTTGAAAGGATGCTTTTCTACTTCCAGAGCCATCTGCCCCCTATTATAGCTACACCTCTGCTTTTGCTCATGGTGGTATCCCTGATGCCCACACTGGGCACACACTGGGCATTCCAAGCAGATTTGCCCAATAAATGAAATGCTTCCAGTTTGTCCCCCTCCAACACATCCACTATGTGCCTGCCGGAGGAATCTTCTGGAAGTGTGGTTGTCACTCCGTATCTCAACTGCTATTCTGCTGCCAGCCCAATCAAGTCTAAGCCCCTGGTGTTCAAGGACACACCTAAACTTTATTTCTTACCACAGCCAAGTACTGAAGATGCTGGTCCACCGGGCAGCCTGTCACTTAACCAACAATCCCTGGGTTTCTGACTGTGTGCCAGACCCTGAGAAGCAGAGTCGTATGTCTATGGTTTCTGCCATCAGGGAGGTTCCGGTCTGGCAGAGCACTCAGACATCAAACAGATACTTGTAAATAATTCAAAGGGTATAGTTACCAACGTGGCTTGGAGAATTACAGGGTGCTTTAGGGACGAAACTGAAGCCAGATCAAGAAAAACTACAGGGGAAGTGACTGTAAGGCTTCACTTTGGGGACCTCTGGGGGTAGGAAGAGGGGAAGAATGCAAGGAAAGTATTTCAGCCAGAAGTGCTGGGGCCTGGCAGAGTAGGAACGTTTGAAGGTTTGAAAAGCCAGTGTGGCAGGAGGGGAGGTCAGCTTGGGCCAGATGGTGCAGGACTGGGGGCAGTTTCCTCTGCCAGGAACACCCTCATCCGTGGACTCTGCACTGTGTCACCTCCCTGGAGATGCCCTCCCTGAGCACGCTTCCTAAAGTAGCCCCCTGTCAGTCCCCGTGACCTCCTATCCACCTTCCTCGGATTTATGTATAGCCCCAGACCCTCTCTGGAGTTCTCTTTTGCACTGATCGTCTAAGCATTCCCTTCTCCCCAAATGGAAGGTCAGCTCCAACTGTCTGCCTCGTCCGCCACTTGTATGTCCAGATCTGAGAATGGGGCCACAGCAGCACCCAGTCGATATTTGCTGAATGAATGAAAAGACAGGGGAGGAGCAGGGATA